GAGTCCAAGAACACGGAAATTCCTCTAAACAGGATCTCAAGGGAGGCTTCTTCCTGGCCTTAGTTGTACAGGGGTTAATAAGGTGCCTCTCGAGGTCATTGAACAGTTCCTGGAACATATAGGTCCCCAGACCCAATCAGAAGCTCCATGCAGCCTGCGTGCATCATTTAAGCCCTCTGATTGGGCACCTGTTCTAGTGCACACCAGTGGGTGTTCACATGCAAGTCTTCCAGGGCCAATGGGCCATAATGTGGTGTCCAGGGGCCTGCATGCCCAACTGCTCAGAAACCTGCATTCAGGACTGCTCCCGGCCCTGGAAAAGGATGCTGAACCTCTATGAGAGGGGGCTCTGCCCTGATTGCCTTACCAGGCTCCTTCATGCTTCCCAGTGAATGAGCAGAAGTGAAGGTGAGCCAAGAAGAAGGGCAAGCAGAGGGCATGAGGAAACTTACCCTCCCTGGGAGCACTGGCCTGCCAGCCCTGCTCTGCAACCCCTTGCTCTTTAAGGTTCAATGCATAAAGGCACTTATTTTCCCAGCTGTGTATCAGGCTTCAGGCTGGAGCTTTAAGACTGAGAGTCTTAAAGAGATTCCCCAAGCACCTGTATCTAGGCCACTCTGTCACACGGGAGGCTGTCATTGAAGAGAAACTCGCCCAAGCTCAGAACGACTGGGAGGAGGCAGAGGGACAAGAGTCACAGAGGACGCAGATGCAACCAAACCCCTACAACCACCAGGAGCTAGAAAAAACAGAGTGTGGAAGTTGTACAGCCTCCAGGCATCCTCCTCCTCCTTCTGTCTCTGTGGCAGGCCCTGTGTGGGCAGCTCCACATCTAGAAGCCTGGAAGTCTTCTGGGCACAGGCCAGAACAGCTCCCTTTATGCACAGGCCTTCAAAACAGCGTGGATTTATTGTGGCTCTTAAGTGGCCCAGGCTAATGGCTTGGCATGGATAATGTCTCAGTTTAATTGGTGATTGTGCGAGCTGCTTGTTTCTACTGTACAATCCCTTGTTGCTGGCTCTGGAGCAATTTCTCACAGGCAATTGGAGTCGATTCGGTTTTCACTCAGGCCTGCAGCTTGAGGCAGACATCACCCTGCTGCAAGATCCCATTCCAGGAGATTTCACACATCTCCAGGGACAGCGGGCTCTGAGGACAGCGGCTCTTGATGACACTGCACCTACGATTTGTGTGTGTCTAGATGTCTATGTGGCCAGGGAGGTGTGGACAAAAGTCACCACTGTCAATAACCAGCTTTTAAGGAGGTCACTGTAAGGCAAAGTAAGAGCGGAGGTAAAAACCAAACTAGGAAACCATAGCAGAACCTTCTTTTATACGGGCAGAACTATTTCAGCAGAATAACAGGTGGATTTGTCCAGAGCCTCCACAAGCCCCGGGAGTAGGGGAAGGGAAGACAATCTCTGCAAAGGAATGCAACCTTTATACTTCTAAGAACAAAGAGCATAGATGATCCTAATTTTCATTATGGCCTCTCCTTCCAAGGTCATGATATTTTTTCTTAAGTCTCCCTAAATCTTTTGACCTTAAATCTAGTTGGCTCCTAGCCTGTCTTTCAGGAGTGTGTGAAATATCACAGTTGTTGTGATCCGAAAGCAGCTTATGGAGAAGCTGTTTGGGAGCAGAGCATAGGATGTCCTGATGACATGCTCCCATGCCAGTCTTCCTGAAATGGACCAGGAGCTGGGCCAGGCAGGCCAGGGATTTACCTGAGCTCACATAGCTCCTGACAGGACAGATGTAGGCCTATGATGTTGAGTGAGTGCTCCCAGGAAGATGACAGGAGGGAAACATTGAACTTTGCATCCATATTTTATTGATTTGCATGTCCATTATTTTCACATTTTGCATCTCAAACCTATTAACCAAAAGGATTTAATGATGAAAGGATCCAGTTAAACCTAGCTTTCTGAAGTACAAGTGACTGCAGTCAGTTTATCTTTTCACCAGACTTTGGGTCCAATTAAGAGGAAGAAAACCATCAGGTTTCTCATTGTTCTGTGCCACTACTTTGCGTCTTTTCTGATTAAGGGAGAAGTAGAGGGCTTAAGAATATAGAGAGCGACCAGCACCAGTGACTCACACCTGTAATCCTAGCTACCCAGGAGGCTGAGATTTGAGAATCATAAACTAGCCCAGGCAAGAAAAATCTGTAAGAGTCTTATCACAAATTAATCACCAAAAACTGAAAGTGGAGTTGTGGTTTCAGTGGTAGAGAGCTAGCCTTGTGCCCAAAACCTCAGGAACAGCACCCAGACCCTGAATTCAAGCTCCAGAACCAGCACAAGAAGAAGAAAAGAAAAATATAGAGAGCACATAGGTCTTCTGACCTCACAATCACTAAAATGGCACTTTGTTTCATTTTTTCTCTCTAAGCTATTTCTGATGCTTTTTCTCAAGAGTAAGTACTCTTGCCATGACTTTTGAGGTTGTGGCAAAAAAAAAGTCTGACCCTTTTCCTTGGGCTGCTCTAATCCAGAATTTAAATGAAGTATTAGATTTCTTGACTTCAAGGTCATGGACAATAGGCAGTTAAAGCTTTTTATCTGCCAGTTTCTGCCAAGAAAACTGATAATGCTCGGCTATCCTCTAGCTGACTATGTTGATTGTAAGGATGGGGTGTAGATTGTACATCCTCGGGTACAATTACCTCCCCAAATACAATGCATCTTCTTTCAGACATCCCAGGGAGATAATTTGGACATACTGAAGATCTATAGTAATCAGATAATTACTATCGATTGCTCTTTAGACGTCTTGATGAGGTAATTAGGACATACTGGAAAGAAGCTGGAACTGATTGATTGGCATGCCTGTAATCTCAAAGATTTCTAATTATGTTTCTTTTCTTCTAATGGTTTATAAACAAACATCACTTTAGCTTTAGAATTTGTCAGGTGCCAGGTTCACTGGGAACATCAGCTTTCTCTATTATGCTAACTAGACATGGAACATGATCAGCATAAGCTCATTACGCCTTACTGCCGAAGCAGAAGAAACTGCAATTAACCCTCCTTTCTCTCGTTCTGCATTTCCACACAGGGCTGACTTCTTGTCACAGAGTGGGATGTGCAGTGTCAAGAAGGTGGTCTGGGAGGGCCTTGTGGGACCCTGAGCCTGGCGGATCGGCATCTCCCTTTAACCTCCAGGGATATTGGAGGCCTGCTAAGTCAGGCACAGCGGTCAGGACCCAGTGACACAACATGTGTGTCAGAGTGGCCAATGGACTGCTCAGCTCCAGTCAGGAAGAATAGCTACTCATCACCAGCCACAGTAAAGAGCAGGTCAATAGCACCAGGCAGCTAAGCCACACACTTACTCTATCTGGGTACTCTTGCCTTATGGCATCCACGAGACTAATTACAGGACTTCCTGTTGGAGACCACATTCCACATGATCTCCGTATTTGCTATACCTGGTGGGACCTTTCAGTAGCTTGGCTTTTGTTGTTGTTGTTTTATTTTTCAGAATAATAGCCTGATCTAAAGGCTAAGAACTATGAAAGCAGTAGCTTGCCATGAGCTGTTTATATCTAATTAATGCTATTGGTGAGCTCAGCATTCATTGGACCATGAGTGTGTGGGTGGACGTTCATTCAAAACATGAGAACATCAAAGGAGGGGGTAATAATGCTTGACAGAAATGTTCTCATTACCTTACTCATATAACTGTAACCTCTCTGTACAGCGTCTTTACAATAAAATAACATTTTAAAAAGCATGAAAAATATACATTTCTGGGCATCAAGGTATCTGATGGATACTCTGGACTGTGGAATGTGACTGGACAATCTTTTCATGATTTCTTCTGCACATGGTTCCCTGGTTGATGCCCAGGACATGCAGGTGGCATTCTGACTAAACACCTCTGTTCTTGAATTCCCTGAGTTCTATTTCTTAAAAAAAAATCATCAAAAAAGAAAGATCATATTTTACTTTTACATTTTTGTAATAAAAGTCAATGTTTTCCTGGACCTCCATTTAAAAAAAAAGAAAGAAAAATCACAAATTATACTTATTGTTACCATTAAAGTTGAAGGCTGGAGAGCTATGAAATACAATGGACAGTTCAACCAGGAAAGGAAAACCAGGATATTATGTCCAATAATAACTGACAGTGTGCTTGTGTTTGGATAATTACAGCTGTAGTTGGAAATGCTTCATTAGCTACCATTAACGAGCTTGAGACATGGAAGTGGAGATGGAATTTGTCTTCCTGTAATATCTTCATACTGTACATAAAATAGGGAGCAAGTTCTTCTCAGTCACAGCTCTTGAGAAGTGGGGGTGTTCTTTCCAAAGTTTAATCTCAGCAGCTGTTTAGATCAATATTTGCTGTTTAAGAAACGGACGAATCAGCAGCAGAAAATTTCCCTCTAAAAGGACCTGTAAAGAGCATATTCCAGAACTTTAGTAATTGGCAATTAGAGCCTGGCTCCTTTTAAGCAAAAAGTTAATGCGTTTGTGTCCATGTGTACTAAAAGTGAGAGGACTAAATGTCTGAAACGCACTACAGGTTTTTTGTTGTTGTTGGTTGAGGTTGGTTTTCATTAAGTCTAACATATGAGTTTATCTCTTCATCATTTGCCACCTCCCTTAAAAGGTCATTAAAATCTACTGTATCTGTTTATATGTATATTTTAACCTCTTTCCTCTTATTGAAGTTTCTTTTTTATTGATTGGTGGTTCTGGGTGTTGATGAAAAGAAATCATCTATTTGCCAATCATGGGGGGTGGGCGGGGGGTGGAGCAGACTAACTTGACAAAATGGACAAGTCAGCTTATTGGAGACCCCATCCTCTGCAGGAAGGAGGAGCTGTGGTGTGAAGGAGCCTCTGGGCCTGTTGATCAAGGGGTTCTCAGTGTTGTCCCAGTGTGCTTTGCTGTGAGGAAGCACTGTAGAGACTCACCCATTGGTGACAGAGAAGCTAACTCGAGTGAGACAGGTCAATAATGTGTTTTGTTCCCGGCATGTCGTTGTAGGAAGTTTTACAGCTTGAGCGGCAGCTGGGAGGGCAACTTCTGGAGGAACCCAAGGCCCTCCATTTTAAAGGCAGCAACCACAACCTGCGCCTGTCCATTCACGACATTGCCCATTCCCTCTGGAAGAGCAAGCTGCTGGCTAAATATCAGGTAAGGCTGCCAAAAGGAACCAGAGGCTTGGGGACAATTCGGAAAGAGGGTGGACATTAGTTATCACCTGAGAAATCTTCTTCCTGGAAATTGCTTTTATATCAATACTTGTTTCTTGAAATGAGTTCGGGGTCATTCAAGATTTCTTATTAAAGAATATCTAATGGACATATGTAAAGGAATGCATCTTGGAAACTTTTCCTTAAAATAGCTATACCATCAGTGATCTATTTTTAGTAAAAAAAAACAAAAACAAAAACAAAAACAAAAACAAAAACAGATTTCCAGTTCTAGCATGTCAGTTAACTTTTATTGAAAATGATTTCACTGACATTAACTGAATTGATAAGTATGGCTGCGAATATATTCATAGGCAAAATAGGATATTGTTATTCCATGAAACACAAATCAGGTTGCTAGCATAGCAACACTAACTCTGAGAAGTGCGAAGGAACCCCCCCGTTTGGGACCTTGAAGTAGCATAGCTAAATAAACACAACCAGGATTTTATTAAGTAAATATTCATCAAAGTACTATTCCCAAGTCTCCTTGCAGACTCCTCTATCCGCCAGCCTGAACACTCAGGAGATGGTACTGATGAATTGTAGGCCTCATCCCATCATGTTGATGAGACTTGGTCAACATCTGTGAATCTTGCTCTGCAAATCCAACTGCCTTCACCTTGCCACTGTTGTAGTGGGTCCTTCCTGGTTTTAGTCAATGAACACACTAGGAAGGGAAGAGTTCTCAGCCCCATTCTTACTCTTACATGGCATTTACCCACACATAAATTACAGGATGAAAACCTCTGCCTTTGTTAATAATCACAAGTGTGTTCACTTGGTGCCTAATCTCTGCTTTTATCCACCCCTTCTCCTATATATATATATTTTTTAGATTTCAACATGGTTGCTCTATTATGACAAGACCCTAGGATGGATAGGAGTCTATCTTAATTTTAGAAAATGAATATCTGTTTCAGACTTTTGTGCTTTTTAAGCCAAGCACTTTTCTATAGCAATTAATTTCCAACTGTACTGAGTTTCAGAGGCCCTGTCCCAGAAGACAGAGGGTAGAGTCATGAGAGGAAATGCAATCCAGCCTTACCCTCTCCATTACTTTGCTTTCCTCCAGGATGTCACAGCAGGAATTTATTTTAATGAGCAATGATGGTATGCCGAGATTTATTTTAGGAACTTTCTAAGTGTTTTTTTAAAATCATTTATTATGACTCCTTTTGCAATGAGGGAGAGCAAATTAGGGTGCACTGGTTAGTTATATGGCTCCTAGAAGCTGACTTCCTGAGTTCAAATCTCGACTCTACCACTGAGGCTGCTGATGTTGAGTGCGTTTAACCTCTCTGGGCCTCAGTTTTGCATGTGTGAAGGGGGATCTGTACATGGATGGAGCTGTTAGAAGGAGGCTGTTAGCAATGAGGCACAGTGGTGCCAGTGCTCACTCCTCATGGGGGAGTATCAATTTCATATCCCATAGGAAATTCCTTTTCACCATGTCTGGAGTGGGTCTCAAAGAAACCTGCACTGCACCTTCACTCTGGAAAGGTTTAGCCTGAACACCGTGGAGCTGGTGTGCAAACTGTGTGTGCGGCAAGTGGAAGGAGAGGGGCAGATTTTCCAACTCAACTGCACCGTGTCAGAGGTAAGAAGCCCTATTGTTATTCTTGGAAAGCAGGGGAGAGAATGACTGTTGGGAGGACTGAGAGTGGGGGACAAAATGCAGCCTCAGTACAGGCCATAGAGAAGTCCTCCCAAGCTTCCTTACAGGTCCTATTGGTTAAGAGAAGAACATTTTAACGCTCATGGCAAGGTAGATGTATTAAGAACTATAACAGGAAATCCTTTTTCAAAAATAAGCCTTATTTCTTATGATAACATGGCAAGCTTTTTGTGCCTAAAATCCATAGATCATTAGTAGGATTCCACAGGTTACTCATCCCCAGTAAAGGTCAGAGCAAGAGGATTTCATTGATTGCTGACAGGCTTGCTGCAGGATACAGGCCAACCCATCTTCCAGCTATAGACATTTGCTTTAGGTTTAAGTAGAGAAAGAATCAGTTCAACATCCCTGGGCCATCATCTATGGCCTCCTTGATCATTATCAAAGGTTTCCACAGAAGTTGTGATCAGGACATCATTTGAGAGGATCAGTCTGGTCAGGATAAGAAAGTCATTGTTGCCTAACCAATGGTTTGGCCTGTAATATCCATCAGTCCCGATCTTCCTCAATCCCCCTGATGTGGTCAGGTGGTTAACTCAGAGCCCAGACCAACACAAATATGAAGGTTGGAACGCCAAGCTTCTCAGCCACTTTTAGTGAATTCATGGGCCCAAATAAAGAGGTTTGTCTAAGCACCTGTCACAACACGAATTTAAGAACCATGTTTCAAGTGTTAAAAAGAGGTCTGAGTATCGGGTGTAACATTTAAGCAGTGTGCACATATAACTTTGGTCTCAGCCTCCCACACTGGCCATCTGCCCCTCCTGCTTTGCCAGTTCCCTCTCAGGGACCCAGTGCCTTTTCTTCCCCCTAATTATGTACTGCTAAGTAGAGTGGGAAAGGGGGGAAAAAAACTCTTGGTCCTCTTTTCCTCCGCTCCTTCATTCTCTAGGGAGCAGAAGAGTTGTCCTTTCCCCAGGGTGCTAGGGAAAAGTTCCAGAAATAGAAAATCCTGGTAGCCATCAGCTTGGCCTTTCTTCACTCTGAATTTCACGTCTGTCAGTTGGACTTCTTTTTCATCTGTCCATATGTACTGTAATAACAATGATCATTGCTATTTAAAACACCCTAGGAAGGAAATAGGAGGTGCCCATGACTTTATCTGTTCCCTTTGGATCCAAAGGCTGTGGTTTGAAAAAGTGGTAGGCCTTCACAGGGGCGGAACAAAGGAAGACGAATAAGGCGAATGGTCAGGAGGCAGCCTCTTCTGGGCCTCTGTGGGCTCAGCTCCTGGGCCTCTTGCTGGGCCACAAAACATGGGGTTGTCGTATTTCAACCCTCCAGCCGTCCAGCGTATGATTTAAAATACTACTTCTCCCTCTCTGTCTCATGCATAATGACGGATGAAATAGCAGTCTGTTCAGATTGTCTTGCTCTGCATGTCCTATTTAAAGATGATTTTCCTCAGCAAACCAGGGCTTGGGGGAGCCGGGGGCGGTGGTAGGGAGAGCAGACAGCCTCTCTGGCACTCCATCCTTCTTTCCCACAGCTCATCGAGGTGCGGTCATCCTGTCCTCCTGTAGTTTCATGAGACTTTTGACTCATAAACAACTTTAGTCACAGACCCCAGTGACATTCACAAGGAATGATGGTGGTGTCAGGGTGCCATGGTAACCGCCAGGCCTTTGGATGCGCTGGCCTATCTCCTAGGCCCACAGCTCCACCCCTGCTGGCTCCAGAGGGTGTTTTCACTTTCCAGGCCCAGCAGGTCTGCAAAGTTCAATAACCACCCAGCTCCCGTGACAACAAAGGCTGCAGAATTTTGGAGGGGGGCAAGGAGCTCTGGTCCTTTGATGCTTGCTTTCTGTTCAGCGTGAACATTTGCTGAGCCCTGAAAGGGTGGATCAGATGCAGCCGCAAATGAAAAGAGAGCTGCACGCAGCTCTTCCCCCCACCGCGGCCGCCTTCTCCTCACAGAGAAAGGACAGTTTTGCACAGTGTGATCACAATTTAAGGACTTCTTTCTGGTGCCAACATAGAGGAAAGAAGGTTTCTTTTGCAACTTGGCTGCAGTCTGCCCAGAGGCAGCCAGCCCTAGAGTCACGTGGAAGGCCCTCGTCTGTGAGTGACAACCACGTATAACCAAGGAAGGAAAAAGTGCGCAGCCGCACAGTTGTGACTTTGCTCTGCTGACTGAGTGGCACTGAGTGGCACTATTGTGGCTAGCACCTGAATGAAGTTTGGGGTACCCACAGAAGGGAGGGGCCACTCTGGTCCTGATGAGGGGATCTGTGCTGGAGAACAATGGGCTGAGGAGTCTGGACACCCTGATCCTCATCCGAAATTGTGAGACTGGCAAAACATCCACAAAGGGGAGGGGGGGGGGGGAGAATGGCACCACTGTGGTTGCGTTCTTCAGTACTCTGCTCCTTCCCGGGTCCCAGGGCAAGTTGGCTGGTGGCTGGAGTCCCAATTCTAGTGTCCTTTCTCCCAAGAATGATCTGGCTTGTGGTGAATGTGTTGCCCTCTCTCCCCAGCCACCCATCACTCAAGGGCCCTCAGCAGCAAGCACTTGTAAAGCCACATGACCCTGTTGCTCTCCAGTCCGGTGGCCCGCCAGTTGCTGACCACGGTGACCAGCATGTCCTTGACATGATTCTATCAAAAGCCACCAAGGGTTCTTCTGTTTCATTTGCCAGAAAGTCCTTTAAAAACTTCTAACTTGACACAGATACATGATGATTGAATATATTCTTATTTTTTAAAAAACCTTTTAGATTTATAGGCAGGTGTGCAGTAATAAACAGAGAGCTACCCATCTCCACCCAGGGCAACATGAGTAGAGAGAAGGAAAAGAAACTTCACTTTTTTCTCAGACCTCTGTTGAATCAATCCACAAAGACCTAGTATAACCATGTGCCAAGTGGACAGTTCTATAGAAATGTAGGCCATTATTTATTCTACAGCCCCAGTTACATGATGCCTAAATTGGTCTGTGGGCTTGTTATGGAAATTGGATGAGTGAACAGAATTTAACCAATGGGACCCATTTATGTTCACCATTTTTGTTCTTATTGGGATAACTGGGTTTTCTAGTCAATTCTTTCAGCCTAATCTGTGGTGTCCATTATCAGCTTTTCAAAGGCTTCACATTTCCTACCGATCAAAGTAGACTAAAAACCCCCTCCATTTCTATATAAACAAATAAAAGCTAAATATAAGCAAAGGCAAATTTGTTCCCAGATTAAAGGAGATGGTACGTGTTTCCAAGTTTGTGTAACCTGGGTTGCTTTATAAAGCTCATGGTTCTGAACCCCGGAAATGATGTGGCTTTAGGGGAACTAGTTATCATCTCATAGTAACTTTCCAGATTACAGTGAACACTGTCATCATTTCTTAATTTTCCCAGATCATCTATCTTTATTAACAACTGGCCCATAGTAGTTTTATTTGTATGAGACTATTAAAAACATACAAAGTAATGTCACTCCAGGAGAGCTGCTCTTTTTGCAGTGGCATATATTACTTGGACAAAATGCTTTCATTATGATATTTCCATACATGCATACAAGGCACTTTGATCACATTCCTCTCCTCAATTACTCCTCTAATATCTACTTTCTAAACCATTTTAGTGGTTCCATTATTCTGTTTTCATCAATGTATGTGAAGTTCTTCAGCCATGATCACCCTCCCCCTCTCAATGGAGTCTGCCCCCAATATATTCCTCATTTTTCACTCATGTCACTTTTTTAGGCCTAGATTTCACATATGAGAATGAATATGCCATATTTGTGTTAGGCGGGCTTATTTGGTTTAACATGATGCTCTCCAGTTCCATCTATCTATTTGCCTGCAAATGATAATAACTTCTTCCTTCTGTATAGCTAAATAATATACCATTGTATGTTTGTATATATGTACATATACATACATACATATATATCATACACATGTGTGTATACATAATCACACATACTTTCTCCACTCACCAGCTGGACTGGATACCTAGTCTGACTCTATAACTTGGGTATTATGAAAGCAGTACTATAGACATGACTGTGTAGGTATTTTCTTGACCTTCAGCTACATGCCAGTAAATGGTATATCAAGGTCATATGTGGCTCTGTCTTTAGTGTTTTTAAGGAAACTGACTTCTTTTTAAGGAAACTGACTTCCACATTGGCTGCACTCATTTACATCCCATCAACAACGTATAAGAATTTTCCCCTCACCCCCAGTGCTGCCCAGCATTTGTTGCTGTTTGTTGTCTTGATGATTGCTATCCTGACTGGGGTGAGATTGACTCTCAGTATTGTTGCAACTTGCATTTCCTTTATGGCTTAGAATGTTGAACCTTCCTTCATGTGCTTACTGACCGTTTGTACTTGCTTTGAGATTTTGTCTGTTCAATGCATGTGCCCATTTATTAATTGGATTTTTTTTCTTTTGGTGACCAATTTTTTGAGCACTTTATTCTGGATAATACTCAATTATCTACTAAATAGCTGGAAAAGATTCTCTCCCCCCATTCTATAGATTGGTCCTTGATGTTGATAATTGCAGAGGGGGGGGGGGGGGTGCTGTGCAGCTCTTTAGTATTATTCAATAACATTTATCCATTTTTGCTCTTAGTTCCTTAACAATTGGAGATCTCTATTCACTACCTATGGCTATAACTTGTTTCCCTTGAGATTTCCAGTAGTAGTTGATCTTATATATTAAAGTCTTTGGTTCATTTTGAATTGATTTTTGTACAGGATGAAGGATAGCTATCTAGTTTCAGTCTTCTACATGTGGAACTCCACTTTGCTAATACCATTTATTTAAGGGGCTTTCCTTTTCTTAGGTATTGTTTGACACTTTTATCAAAAATCAGATGACTATAGATATGTGGCTTATACCCAGGCCTTCCTTTGTATTCCACTGGTCAACATAAACAAAGTACATTACTGCTGTTTGATCTAGCTATTACCTCTTCCATGGAACATTCAAAATGACTGTTGGAACTATGTGACTCTAGAAAGAGTGAGTAAATCAGGTAGGGATAGGCAACTATAGTTGTAGTTAACAAGTAGCCTGGGGCAGGGTTGTTTGGTTCAGGAGTTCAAAGCCAGTGTGGGCAAAATAATGAGACTCTATCTCAATAAGTAAATATAAAAGTTGGTGCTAGGGTTTAGGTAACTCAGAGAAATATGCTTAGCATGAGTGAAGCCTGACACGTGTGCCATCACCCATAGCAGCTGTTTGCCTAATGTTGAAAAATCTAATGCGTAACTAAGGGAATCATTACATCAAAGACAGATGGTATAAGTGTCATAAACCATTATTATAATAAGCATTCTGTGAGAGCAATGGCTCTTTTTACCTGGAATAAAAGAAAAAAAACTAATGGCAACTGAAATTATTACGAGGTATTTAAACATAAATGTATATAAGCAGTTTTCTTTTATCTGCAAGGCTATTATCAGCCTTCTGATAAAAGATATAAGAAATTATGCCCTACAGCTCTTACAGGGCAGAGTAGCCTGGGTTGTAGATCAAGATGTTGCTTCTAACACAAAATGACAATGGTTTTTTGCTCTTTAAATAAAAGGAGAGGAACAACATGTATATGTGGAATAGATCTTCCTAAGATGTATGTCTGTTTGAAACTCACTTCAGGATTTAATAACAAGAAGGGACTAGGAAGGCTCCAGTGGCTCATGCCTGTAATCCTAGCTACTTATGAGGCTGAAATCTGAGGACTGTAGTTTAAGGCCTGGGCAGAAATGTCTGCGAGACTGCTTCAATGAACCAGCAAATTGGCCAGGGTAGAGATGTAGCTGAAGTAATAGAGTACCAGCTGAGCAAGCAACTGGAACAAATACTGGGCTCTGAATTCAAACCCCATTACCAGCAAAAAGAAAACGCAAAGGATGAATCCCCAGTCAAATTTAGTTGGAAGGAAGTTTAACACACAGAGTTCTATCAGGAGTGAGCACCATCCTTTTCCCACAGTAGGATAAAAGAAAATTTCTCTCATCCAAATCAATTATCAGAGTAGTTTATATGTGCAAAGCACAATGTTGGTGATCATGTCGATTGAGAGAAGGATAGAGAAACTCTCTACTCAAAGAAATGCGAGAAATAAAAAGTTCAAAAATCAACTCAAAATGGATTCCAGGCTGGGAAGGTGGCTCAGTGGTAGAATGCTTGCCTTGAATGCATGAGGCCCTGGGTTTGATTCCTCAACACCACACAAGCAGAAAAGGCCAGAAGTGGCACTGTGGCTCAAGTGGTAGAGCATTAGCCTTGAGCTGAGGAGCTGAGAGACAGTGCCCAGACCCAGAGGTCAGGCCTCACAACAGACAAAATAAAATAAAATAAAATAATGGATTTCAACCTAAATACAAGACATAAAGCTGTTAAAGTACTAGAAGAAAGCATGAGGGAAATCAGTTCAAGACTGATTCAGGCAGTGATTTTTCTAGAGAAGACCCCAAAGTGTAGAGTGAAAAAAAGAAAAAAAAAGAATGCAGAACTTGACAACTGGATTGACATCAAGGGAAGAAGCACAGAAAATGAAACAATCAACAGTATAAACACATAATGTTTACTAGTAGTTTATACGATAGAGGATTATTATCCAAAACACGATTTTAAAAACCCTCAACATTTTTAATAAGTAACCCAATTTAGTAGAATGGTTAAATGATCTGAAGAAACATTTCTCAGAAGAAGAAATAGACACAAAAATGAGCAACCAGTACATGAAAGTGAGCTCTCAGCTATACCCAGTCTGAATAGCTGGCATCAAAGGGTCAAAAGAAAACCAATAGAGATGTGGAGAAAAGGAAGCTGTGCACTGTTGGTGAGAATATAAATGATTATATAAATCCCAGGATGTATGTCCAAAGGATATGAATTTGGCATGCTAGAGATATCTGAATACCCATGCTTATTGTGACAATATTCACAGTAGCTGAGAAATGAACTGCTCAACAGATGAGCAAAAGTTGTATAAATAAATATGTCTCCTTCTGTGTGTGCATGTATGTATATTGTACAGTATGAATCTGGTAACACAAGGCCCAGAGTACTGCAATAACCAGACTTTGACCTCCATTGCTACTTAATTAGGGTAGTTTTCTATATATTAGGAGATGTTGTCCAGGAAAGTAGCAAGCAAACTTCACTATGGGTGATGGCATTGAGTTGTGCTGGCCATATATAATTCTATTCCCACTGTAAGCATTGAGTCCATTGGGTTCAGACATCCCAAGTATAAATCGATTAACAAACGCTGACCTTTGTCCTTAGACCACTCTCCTACTCACTTCCTTTGAGTCCTAGGCACCCAAAGGTCAGGAACTCTTTTCTCCACCCCCTTAGGAAGAGCTCTGTGCCTAAGGGGGAAAGCTACAGATTGTGATCCTCCTTCTGAGACCCCACCTACGACTGGACATGTTTGTGCCTCATATCACTGTCCTTTAGACCTGGTATGTGATGGCGCAAATACAAAGGAGCTGATGGAATCCGTTGCCAAGCTTTTTGAGTCTAACACTAATCAGAACCAACACTTGTGTGCATTTTATGGCAAAAAGTAGTGGAGTCTTTGTGTGTGTGTGTGTGTGTGTGTGTGTGTGTGTGTGTGTGTGTGTGTGTGGTACCTATCTGTACTGCGGCTTGAATTCAGGGCCTGGGCACTGTCCCTTTGCTTTCTGTTCAAGGCTGACATTCTTCTACTTGAGCCACAGCTCCACTTCCACCTTCTTGCTTGCTAATTGGAGATAAGCATCTCATAAATATTTTCTGCCTGGGCTAGCTTTGAATCATGATCATCAGATCTCAGCCTCCTGAGTAGCTAGGACTACAGACATGAGGCAGTATGACCAGCTCCCAAAATAGTGTAATTTTGCTCACACACACAAAAAAACCTCCAAGCAATCCAGGCCCCAACAGAGCCCCCTGTGTGGTAAAATTATACCACTGGAGAAGTCAGCTTTAGGTGCTGATTTTGGAAAACTGTGTTTCTGGAAACTCCACTGGTCACATGGGACACAGATGGCTGACATTGCCCCCTGCACTCCACAGTACCAGTAGCAAGAAGGCTTGGTAAAATTTGGGGGACTCTGGACAGCAGTGTCATACACACACACACACACACACACACACACACACACACACACACACACACACACACACAGAGCTATGTGCCCATCAAGACATCACAGAAGCATTGGCTAAGCCTGTGTGGCTAGCGTGACTAATTCTACACACCAAGGTGTTACCTGTTTAAAAGAGAAAGAGGGAGGCATTTAAAGTGGATTACATAGATTTTCTTTTATTGCAACCTTTGCTTTTGCCTTTTTAACCAGCAGAAGCAATGAGAAAAATGATTAGAGAGTTTCTCTTGCGGTGAAATTCAAAATTTTGCATTTGTGCTGTTTTATGAGCTGAAACTATTTTAAGAGCCAATTTATGGTTTTCTCTACTAAAATTAGACTTAAAAAAAAAAAGCAAGTAGGTTCAGCAATTGGAGGATGCCGTTAGCATCGAGCCCTAAATATACTGTTGACTGTTTTTCTTTTGAAAAATTGTCTTAATTTGCTATCCATTCGCCTTGTTCCAGTCCCTCCATTGCGAGCAGACGCCAGCTAGCCCGCTGCTGCCAGGTTAGAGTAGGCCAGGCGGCATTCATTCCTTTCCCTGCAGAGTCAGGTGATTCCTACAGGTTCTCTTTGTCATCCTTCTAATCTCTGATCTGATGTTGGTTCTCATGCAAGTGTTCTTCTGAGCAATTCTCCCCCTTAAAAGCTACACTTTCAGAAGCACCAGCTTTGCCTCTTTTCTCTCTCTCCCTGGAGAATCCCCTCAGGGAATGACACGAGAGTTTTCCCTCCGGCTCTATCCTGAGCAATACAAGCCTATGCAGAAGTAGCTCCAAGATGGCAACCTTCCTCTCTCCCTGGTTATGAAGACTGACTCACCACGTTGAACTGAGGACCAAGCAATAGTTTCCTAAGCAGAAAGAGAGCACTCTTTGCAAAGCAAGGCCTTATGTTAATGGGCTCAATAGGGATTGCTCTGTCTTCAGAAATAAAGCTGTGCTGTTTTTGTTTGTTTGTTTGTTTCCAGGAGCCTACTGGCATCGATCTGCCCTTGTTGGACCCGGCCAGCACCATCACCACCGTCACAGGGCCCAGTGCGTTCAGCATCCCGCTCCCCATCCGGCAGAAGCTGTGCAGCAGCCTGGATGCCCCACAAACCAGAGGCCATGACTGGAGGATGCTGGCTCATAAACTGAACCTGGACAGGTGGGTGGGGCCAGGCTTCAGGGCCAGCTGTTTTCTGCCAAACCCGGGATGGTCTCCCGGGATGGGCATGGTTGGGCAGACTACATCCTTCAATTCAGCTGTTTATGTTGTTATTCAGAAAACGTGTCTGACACTGCTTCTTTGAATCTTAGGCGAAGGGCTTGCAAACCCAGTTCCAAGAGATATTCTGGGTTTATTTGACATTTATAAAACTTGGTATCAAGTTTTATGATCTACTTTGCCAAATGGATGAGCTAAATCCTTCTAAGGAGGATTTTCAACCGGCCCTGATGCTTGATGGAAAATTAGCATGCTCACACAACTGGCATGAAACATAAACAGAGCACAAGAGAGACCACTTTGCAGAAAGTTGGCATCATAACCAAATAAAAAAAAACACAGCATCAACTGGGCACGAGCAGCCCCCACCTAGAATCTTAGCTACTCAGGAGGCTGAGATTTAAGAGTCTTGATTCAATGTCAGCCCAGCCAAAGAAATCCCTGAGACCCTTGTCTCCAATGAACCAGCAAAAAGCTGGAGGTAGAAAGGCGTTTCAAGAGGTAGAGCAATGGTCTTTTTTTTTTTTTGTCGGTCGTGGGGCTTGAACTCTGGGCCTGGGCGCTGTCCCTCAGCTCTTCAGCTCAAGGCGAGCGCTCTACCACTTGAGCTACAGCGCCACTTCCGAGCAATGGTCTTGAGTGAAAAAAAGCTAAGCAAGAGCACAAGCCTCATGACTGGCATGAAAAAAAAAAAACGAAAAGACATAGCATGGCACGTTAAGACAGTCAGAGAGTCTGAGCTGAAGAGAACACACAAGTCTCTTGATTTCCTGATTAGGATATGACCCATAGGCATCTTGTCTCTTAAATTATCTTACTCCGAGTTGAGGTTAACAAAGTTACACAGCTCGTCTCCTCTGTGGGGCTGATCTAATTAAGTATGGGCTAGTCATTTAGAAGGGTTCACTGTAAACCACAATGGAGCTGAGATGCTTAAAGACAGATGCTCTAAGGCAGACCAGTTTAGTGGACTAAAAACAGAAGAGAAAACGGATCCCAAAGGCATGCCTTTCAGCACATTTTTCCCATTCCCCATTTACAGGTACTTGAATTACTTTGCCACCAAATCGAGCCCAACTGGCGTCATCCTGGATCTCTGGGAAGCCCAAAACTTCCCAGATGGAAATCTGAGCATGCTGGCAGCTGTCTTGGAAGAAATGGGCAGACATGAAACAGTGGTGTCTCTAGCAGCAGAAGGGCAGTATTGATTGACCACACTGGAAAATGAAAAACGTGCAGGGAGTCTGTGACTGTCCAGAGAACAACACACAGCCGGGAGGGAAACCCAGACCCGACCAATGAGTTTTACAGGCAAGATGGCAGCAGAGAGCACTGGGAAAGAGGCCACCACCCATGTACACGCCCACTCTCCTCGGACAGCACCTCGGGAGTTAAGAAAAGTTGTGTAAATTTGTACCTTGAATTTAGAAATCACTCTAATTTTCCTCTTAGTTGGGCTGTATGCTGTATGGTACAGGATCTTACAGTTTCCTAGGAAACGCTTTTTATTGCTATCCAGCTCTATGGATAAACTTTCTTAACAAACCCAATTTCTACAAATGTTGTTTACATCAGATTGGACAGGGATGCAGACACTGTCCATGGCTTGTTCTATTTTTGTTCAGATCATTTGGAGTTGAAGCTGTGGACGGTTTGTTGTGTCTATTACAGATTAGTGATTTACAGAGAAATCGCAGACTTTTTGTTGTTGTTGTTTTTTTGTTTTGGCTACAAATTGTGTACATTGAGTGTCTCAGACAATAGCCACCCCGCTCCCCCCATCACCGTTCCTGTTTCTGGAACTTTGTAGAACCAGTGTTACCGTTTGTATCAGGGAAGTGTTAAGGAGAAATGACTGAGTTCTTAATGCCTTGGGGTGGGATTGGGCTCATTGGATGTCCTTTGGGAAGAAAGCTGTAGCTCTGCAGGGAAGACACTGATTCATCTTCAACCATACAGACATTCCTTCATGACATGTGTGTGTGTAATATGCTATTACAAGTGCTTTTTAAAGGTATCATTATTATCATTGTTATTGATGCGTATCTACAAGTATTCTAGTAAAATGATTCTCTTTTAGTTTTGGCTTTAGTTAGCAGTCCTGTTAGTGCTTGGTAATTGACTAGGCCTATCTCCTACACGTGTGTCACAGCGTGGTGGATGGGCACCAGTTTAGTTCAATAGGCATTGCTTCCTTGAATAATGACTTTTCTATACCATTCCAAAAAGCTAGTCAATCTTCACTGGCTTTGCCCATCTGTTCTTTCAGCTTGCTCAGGCAAAGTCTTTCTCCTCTGAGTCTTATTATGGGAAGGATAGTCTCTACAAAGTTCACTTCATCTTGTGATTGTGAGTTCCATCAAACTGGGTGTACCTTAGGGGCAGCACAGTTGGTAGAAAAGTCCTCAAACTGGAAATCAGGGCACCGGTTGTTGTCCTGTATTGAAGTCTGTCTACCTGTGCTACCTTGGGAAAGGCACTGCAATCCAATCAAGCTCAGTTTCTAATCAACTGCAATAAGATCATCTGAAGCTTCTCCCACGGTGGGACTCCCATTACCACACCTCCAGTCTCCTCCATCCGTCTGGACATCACAAGGAACTCTGAGCTGGATCATTCAGATGTGGGCTAGCCTTTTGCCTGGGCTTCTTTACCTTTCCACCAGTGTTGACTTGGAAGAGAATATTCTAACCTTCCAGATGTTTGTTCAGCTTTCCAGTCTCGTCTTTGTATGGCTGTATGATGTTTCTCACTGAGAGATGACATTCCCTAACTATCATTTTCTTGTCCTGCCATGAGACCCCTGCCCGTCTAGCTTTCCTGACTTGGGGCACATTTGACCATGTTATCACCAGTCTTACAAGTGCACCCAGCCGGATGACCTTGGTGTATTTTGCTATCCCCAAACCCATTCACCTTTGTTTTAATAGTACTCACTAGCATTTGCAAAAGTTCATTAGTCCTTCTAGCCTATAAAATGTGAGCCAACAGACAACTTTGTGAGGTTTCCTTTGGGACCATGGTAGACTCTTTCAACAGATATGGGAAGAAGAGTCAGCAGACCAATAACCACACCCAAACTGAGTACGAAGCACACACATGCTTGCATCCAAACCCACAAAATAGAACCGACCCTGGTTTGCACAGAGACAGAGAGGAATCGAGCTTGCTGACTGATTTTAGCTGAGAAATTGTTCTGTGCATTTCCCAGCTTCCCACATGTTCCCTCTCCTGTTAAGTTACTTCTTGGTTTTAGACTCATCTTTACTGATAGAGAGACTTTGTTTCCAAGCCTCCTCCTTCATGCCATTTATTTCTTATCTTTTCTGTTTTAAGATATATAGATAGATAGAGTATAATCTTTATCGGATCATCTTGTGCATTGTAATTTCCATATATAAAATTTCCATATTTAAAAATACCTATTCCACTGATTATAGAGGGGGATAAGCAAATTTAGATGATCACATTTTCACCAGTGAGTTAGAATTAAATTGGAAAACCTTAAACAGATTACTTTTAAGAAGGAAGCGAAGGAAAGAAAAGTGTTGTCCATGGCTATATCTTGAAATAAACTTGCTAAGATTGTTCTTCAGTAGTTGAGTTGTGAAATTACCAATAGAAATCAAGAGCTAGAAGTCTGAACTGAATGCTAAAAGGAACTTCTCTGCCTCATGACAAAAACGGAATGGAACAAAGATAGAGTTATCTAGATGAGTCATTTCCAAAACTTTTACTAATTTAAAAAGTCACGACCACAAGTGATTATTGAGTATAATAGGCACAATATTGTTGGAAGTGATGCAGGGTTCTTAGGGTTCAAAATCATCTAAACATTCTTGCTTTTAACCACTCAAAAATGCATCCAAAAAAAGGGAAGAGTGATTGATTTCTTGTGAGGTTCTCATCAGTCATGTAAAATGTTTTGTTTCTTATCAAGTGTGTGACTGCTGCCACATCGCAACAAACCATATGTCAGATGGTGTCACTAAGAACTGTTAGATTGATCTTTCCAACTTAGAAGCAACAGTTCATTTCTTAGGTAGCCATTTATAGGCCATCCTGTGTGCCTGGTCTGGCTTCTGTACTACTTAAGAGGGAAAACTGGGCTTCAAGTGAGTGGAAAGGCTATCATTTGTGCATGGTGCCCTCTAGTGGCATGAAGCACAGTCTACCCTGCAGTTGATACAGCTCACCAGAGGTGGACAAGTGTTTTCACTGAGTACCTGCAGAATTCAACAAATGTAAAGGATTTTCCGCTTCAGATGTATGATTTTTATTATTATCATCGTATTTTTCACTTAAATGACCCATCTCAAACTTTCATGTTATTTTATGTAGGCCATTAACTCGTTTGTATACAAGTCTTAAGATGCTTTCTTGTTCACAGACATGCACAAAAGCTATATAAGTGTCTTTAGAAGGTATCATCTTTAAGAGCTATAATTTCCACTAGGTTTTATGCATTGGAAATCTCCTTCTTCTTAGTTCCCTAATGCTTATCTTTGGCAACATAAGAAGTACCTGCTTAGAAGCCTTGCCTATGCAAATGGAAATACTGTATTTAAGGAAAGGGAAATGTGGCTGTGATCAAGAAGTAGAAAAGATTCGTTTCTTCTCCATTTGCTAGTCCAAAGGCAGGGTTTCATCCTGGTTCTCACTCTGTTTGTCACCTGAATTCATCTTTTCTTGAAGTGCTTCCAGGTACATGATGAAGACAAGCTTGGGGGACAAGTCAGGTCATACAGGACACAAGACCTTTTGCAGACCTCTTCCTCAGCAGCCACCTGCCACAGAAAGCAGGACAGGTCACTTGTCCTGGTGGTGTGTCCAGTTTCATACTGCATCATATCATTAGCCATTTTCATTTTCTTTTACTGTGTTTCATCTCTCAGCTATCAAAGAGTAGAGCCATTCTTTAGAGGAAATACCTGGGGACTGCGTTCAGGATGCTCTGTAAATGAGGCATTGGGCCACAGGTTTCTGCTAGAAGTCAGATATCTTAAAAGCAAACATCTAGGGCTCACCCTTCACTTCTTCTGGAGAAGAGTCTGACCTATGCATCTGTGTCTTGGGAACTTGGCAGGTGTATTTATCAGCCACTCATGCTTCTGCAAACAATGGGTAAAGTTGGGGAGCAGTAGGCTGATGGCTTTTTCTAGAACCCACAGGCCTCTGCACCTGTAGTCTTCCCGCCAGAGGTCAAATGTAAAGTTATAGAGGGACTTCCAAGAGTATGTAAAGAAAATAGGGAAGGGTTCTTGCTGAGTTGTTCAGTCTTCACGTTGAATGTGAAGTTTAGCTTTTGCTGAGCAATTATTCTAGACCAGTCAGTTGATTCACATGGAGACTTCAGTACTATGCCAGGGCTGGCTTCCTAAAGACAGGAGGGCCACAAAACACGGTGCAGATGTAACGAAGCTCCAGCCATGTGCTTTGAGAACATGTTTGCCAATCAGAATATCACTGCTCCAAAACCAATTATTTGTAAAGATGATGACCAATGAGTGTTAGATTTTATAGATCCAATAAGGAAACAAATATTTTTATTATTATCTCAATGTAATAAAACTTTTTTTAATCTTTCGAGTGCCTCATAGGATCAACTATTATTATGTTTCATTTTTGTTTTTATACTTTTTATATTTTTAAAATATCCTGATGTAATGTTGACTGAACTATATCTTTAGACCTTTTCCTCTGTGCAATGAAATTCTATTTCTCTACCCTAAGAGATCTGTTTATCTCCGCTCTGGCTACAAGGATCACTTTGAAAAAGTTGCCCTTGAATTTCTGGTGGTTTGTTAATGGAATACAGAATATGGGAAATATATTGTCACTGGTATTATTTAAGTTCATGTCCATATATCCCAGAGAAGCCAGAATCTGGGATGGAAACTGGTTTTTGAGAAGTGGAGACAGCAATTTCTCTACACAGCCTGTAAACTTCCAAATCCTTTCGTCTTACTGGCCATGTAGCTGTGCATGCTTTAGGAAAACCCTACTATAAAAGTCTGTCTGCAGAAGAGTTTATGGCCCTTGGATTTCCAGTGAGCTTGACCGCTTCCAGGATCGATCTGTGGTGGGATATTAATGCACTTGTTCAACCAAAGGTATTGTTTGCCTCAGGCCTGTTTTAGCAGGGCTGAGGAGGAATCACCAGTTCAAGTCAGCCAGCAGGCCATAAATAGAGGAGCTTACAAAGCCAGGCAGTTTTCACAGGCTGCTCCTCAGTCCTCTGAATACTCCAATGACTATACATTGAAGAGATCTGACCAGAGATATTCCAGGACCTTAGATTGGAAAGCCCTGCAGAATATCATGACAGTCATGGCCTACTAGTTGTGGACAAGAAAAGTAGTTGGGCACCAGTAGCTCACATCTGTAATCATAGCTACTCCAGAGACTGAGATCTGTGGGTCAAGGTTCAAAGAGAACCTGGCACAGAAAATTCCAATTAATTCCAATTAATCAGCAGTACACTGAATTGGAGATATGGCTCAAGTGGTAGAGTGCCACCTACAATCAAGCAATTAGAGTGCTAAACCCTGAGTTCAGCCCTGGTATTGACCCCAAAATCAAAACAAGCTAACAAATCCCAAATACAAGTAAGCTGCCCTGAGAATCAGCTCCCCACCAGCCATCCCATTGCAGATTGTGTTTAACAAATCAATAAACTGCAGGTAATAAA